CTCTTGAGCACTTCAATTGTAGCTAGTGAGACTGAGAGACTGAATTTTCAATTTTACTTATTGTTAATCTATTTAAATAGTCGCATATGACTAGTGGCTGCCATAGTAGAGAATGCAGCTCTAGCAGAAGTCTCCTCTCCTACTGGTGGATCAGACTCAATCACTTGTCTTCACCCCCAAACGTGACTGCTTGGAAAATTTTAATTCACTTAGAGCCACAGTTCTTCATAAAATTCCACATACTTCAAACATGCTAATCGGAAACAACAGTTGCTTTTAGCTTCTTATTTTTACCATCGCCTTCTTTTATTTTTAATAATTGACGGGTATTGCCGATGTATTGCGTTGTGCCTATGTGATGAATACTTCTCAGAGAATTAAAGATCTTTCGAGTATTCAAATCTTAGCACGAATTTGCCCAAGTTGCTTTCATCCTTTCCACTGTGTCCTGTTACCCTGATCCTAGGCCTTAAGCCAAATTCGATAGTTGAATTTTGCTACAGTATGGAGTGAATTCATCCTGTGGTGTCTAACCTGGGGATATAATCACAGCAATTGATGTGGAAAATGTTTTCACAGTCAAAACGAAACTTTCCCCTGAACCGGTAAATCAAATCATTCCTAAAGACCGTTCCTATATCAATTAGCTATTTATTTTCTCAATATGAAGTGATTTTCAGTTCTCTTGCCTACTGGAAAAAAATGCTGCTTACCTTCCGAACAGCATGAACAAATATTCCTCCGCCCCGATATACTTCTACACCCTATAAGGCATTAGATGATCAGAAAACATACAAAGGCAAATTTTATTTTTGAAACACAAACACTTGAGGAAGTATAGCTTTCTGCAAACATCTCGGTTATTATCCCTTTATCACCATCAATGTCTTTCTACTCATTTATTCAAATGAAGAAGGAAGCTACACTTATATTAAAATTTGTTGCCTGGAACATAAATTCTATTTTGTCCCTTTGTAGATTGTAGCACCTTTGAGATTTCCAGGTTGTGGAGCAGACTGTTGGATATAGGTCTGGGGTCAAAAGAGAGGACCGTGCATGGGATATGAATTTCAGAGTCTAAGACATTTAGATGGTGACTGCAGTTAAGCAAGTAAACCTTGGGATATGGGGCGCATTACACACCCCCTTCAAGTGATTCACCTTGAATAAAGGGAAGGGCATGAAGGCCCACATAACTGGGTGGATAAGAAAAGGGCGACTCTTATGCGGACTCATAAAATACAAATGTCTTAGGAGTCATATCCCTAGCTAAATAGGTGATGACATTGAAACTTTGGGTTTTGTTTCAATGTGTTTTTTAAAGACCCCAATTTAGTTTTTGTCATGCACTTATAGAATAGGTACATCTTACTATTTTAACCTTCATAAGGCATCTTTATTTCCAAATTCTGTGGTTGAGACATGCTGAGCACCTTCCTGGAGGCCTTATGGATAAACACTCCCCCCATCTTTTTCTTTTCCCCTTAAAAAGATGCTTTTCTTTTTCCAGCACATTGATTGATGTTGCATCAAAATTCCAGTGTCATCTTTGTGTTGTTTATATATAGACCCTTTCCGCAATAGCATACTTTACACTCATCTGCTGTTGGTGTCTACCACACCTATATCCTTGGGACACCTATTTCTCCTTCATAGGCCGTTGTTTATTTAGGTCTCATATCTTTGAACGTGCACCCTAAGACAGTTAACCTGTCTTTTCTTACAGACTGTTAAATCTGTCTCAGGGTCACGAATGAAAGGGAACATAACAGAAGTGTTTTGTGTACTAAATCGTAATCATATTTCAGTCCTGCCTCCTTAAGACAGGCAGAGGATAGAGACAGAATAGCAAAAGATCTAATAGAGCCAGAAGCAGAAACAGCAGGAGACAGGACAGCCTGACAGACAGACAGCTGGTTGGACAGACGGACAAAGGCCAAAAGATGGACAGAGCCAGACATAAGCCCCCTCCTCCCCCCCAGAAAAGACAGGTAGATAGGGATACACAGAAAGAGAAGGCAGATCTATAGATAGATGATAGGTAGATAGATGATGATGATGATGATGATGATGATGATGATGATGATGATGACAGACAGATAGATAGAGACAGACAGAGACAGAGATACAGTGAGACAGAGACAGACAGAGAGACAGGACATGTACAAACTAGGACAGACAAGGGCAGTTACCAATTGAGACAGGGAGACAGGCAGAGGCTGACAGACACAAGTAGGGAGACAGAGACAGACAGACTGGGAGGCAGAGACAGTGAAAGACAAACAGAAAGAGAGAGACACACAGAAAGAGAGAGGTAGAGGTAGTGACATAGGGGGAGAGAGAGAGAGAAAGAGAGAGAGAGAGAGAGAGAGAGAGAGAGAGAGAGTGTGTGTGTGTGTGTGTGTGTCAGAGACAGAGTGAGACAGATACAGACTGAAACAGAAAGAGAAAGACAGAGACAGACAAAAAGAGAAAGAGGGACAGAGCCACAGAGAGATACAGGTAAAAACAGGCATAGACAGAAGCAATAGAGAGACAGACAGAAAGATAGAGACCCAGACAGACAGACAGACATAGATCGACAGAGATAGAAACAGAAAGGGACGATAAGACAGAGACACAGAGTGACAAAGATAGACTGAGAAAGAGACAGGTAGACAAAGACAGAGGCGGACGGAGATAGACAAGGATGCAGACAGAGACAATAGAGACAGAGACTGGGAATGACAGAGACTGTGACAGATATATGAAGAGAGAAAGACAGAGACAGGGATAAATCCTCATCATTGTCAAAGACTGCATGGCATCTTATAAAGGTACCCCTCCTTTGGCATGCCATTTAGTTTGTAGTCACTTAGTTTGATTGTTTCCTGTAGCATTTCCATGACCATACATCTTGTTCTGCCTCTCCTCTCCCCATTCCTTTACTGGGAGGCTATAAAACAAAGTGTGTGTTAATGTCGGAATCTGTGCTCCTCAGCCTTAGCAGTCTAAAAGAAAAGAAAGAAAAGGAAAATCAAAAATTAAAGACTGTTACTGGAATAACAGCTCAAGCTGGCAAATGGCAACAACTAGGGTTTGTGAGAGATCAAATGCTTAAATGACCGTGTTTCCTCTCTATTTGTAAATTATGAAACACTCTTCTATTTAAACAGCAAAGAGCAATTTAAAGATTTAAGACTAGTTGGGTAGGCAAATAAAAGCAGACCTCTCAGTTAAGCTGTACTTCTAGCTTCATGGTCTTTGAATTTCCTGTGAGGATACCTATTTTTGATGAAATGGCATCTTGACATTCAGCTCAAGAAAAAGTAATTTGAAACTACTTAGAAATTTTATATAAAAGAAGTGAAATTTTTACAGAAAAACAAACATTATTACCCTTCTACTGAATAATGATTTATTCTTTCTTCAACTTTAGTTATTAAAAAAAAAAAAAAAGACTGACAGACAGACAGGAGGCCTATTGTTTGTAGTTAGTTCAGTAAACAGAGTACAGGGAACTTAGAGCGGAAAAATGCAAAATTAAGGGCAAACATCAAAGGGAGCAACAGCAGCTTCCTACTTGAGCCAGTCCCTATAACTGTTATGTAACTATTACTTTAACACTATTTTGTGTGTTGGGGATAATGAAACCTTTCACATCTCCTTAAAGAGTAAATGAATAAATAATTAAATAAATAGTCAAAAGTAATTTGTTCACTGAATGATAAAGGATAAAATCTAATTGGGAAGATAAATATACACCAGTAAGAAAAATTCTAGTTTTGAGTAAATGAACTATTAAATCTGTTTAATTTTTAAATTTATGTTCACTTTCTATTATTTTTTATACTCTTGAAGTATGTATTTATTTGTATGGGTTCTTAAACAGAGTTTTCAATGTGTTGACCTTCTTTAACCACAACAATCACTCAAAGTGCAAACAAGTAGGGCATTTTGGAGGGAATGGGATGGTGGCAGTTTTTTTTTTTTTTCTTTTCTTGATAAAAACACATTCTACCTCACACTTTTGATTACTTGCTTGGGCATCCCATCTTCTGACCCCATTTCCAGATGCCAAGTAATCCCCATTATAATTCAAAGATATTCCATTCCAGATGTTACCAATCCTGCTCTTAAGCAAGACACAGTCTTTCCAAGTACAATTTGAACATCAAATATTTCTGAAGAGCAAAGGCCATCAACTTGCTCAAAGAGTAGTTTCTGATGCATAAATAATTTATGGCTGTATGTCACAGAAACAACTATAGTTAGTAAAGAAATATCCTCATATAATCAAACTGCTTCCTTCCACTCCACACCCAATATAGGGTGTACAAAGTTTGAAATGTCTTTCTGGGGTTAAAAATGCTAGAAAAGTTCGAATAAAGGCTAATTAACATCAATGTAATCTTAAGAACAACCAAAAACAAGATTATCAGTGTAGTCTGGGTGTGTTCACACAGTGAGAGACCATGAAAACCAAGTACTACATTCAGTGGCAGGAAATGGGGAAGGGGGAGCAATCAGAATGGAACCAGGGTGTGTAAGGGCAGATTACGAGTGGGGTAGGACTGCTGTCAACACAACAAATGAAAGAGACGTCAAAATATTCAACATTCATTTAATCAAACTGAAGGAAAAGAGTTTCACTAAGAGTAGTAGAGTAGATAAATTCAGGTTCTCTGTAGTCAACTGGTCTTTGTCTTCCAAGAAACAATGTGTGTGTGGGGGGGGTGGGGCTGGGGGGTATGGTAAACCAGAAGTATAGATTTCCACATTAACAGCATGAATGAGTTCTGGTGGTGTTTGGAGGCTTTAAAATTTTAGTGTCCTCTTCATATGTGTAGGTAAACAGTCTCAACTTATGAGATACAGTTCAACAAGGCCTCTGACAGACTTGGTCACCAGAGATGGGCAAGGCCAGCTGACTCCACAGAAGGAGCTGGCATCTTGAGAAAGCTGGCCACCCCTGTGCCCAGGGAAGTGCTGTTCAGCTATCTGAGCTTTTGCACGGGTCCTCACTCTGGACAGTGCCCCTCTCTGGGGAGGTACAGGAAGTTACAGGCCACGTATATGGGGAAGACCACATCTTGGTTCTCCAGGTTCACTACCTCTAGCTCTTGATGCTTTCTCAGAGAAATCACCTGGTATTCTGTGTCCTTTCTGAAAACGGCTCTTCCAGCCCTGTCCAAGGAAGCCAGGCGCAGACGGAACACGATCTTTCTCTGCCAGGGTAAACTGACCCCGAGGCCACAGGGCTTGTTCAACACGCTGCGTCGGAAAATGATGCGCCGGTTGGTGTAGCACACAACTAGATCCCAGCCAAAGTTGAAGCCGGCCCACCGCCAGCTGCACTTCTCATCCCTGCGGAGCTGGCCCCCGCACCGCATGCTGTTCTCTTGGAGGTCCGACATGTTGACGTCGATGGGCCCGAGATTTCTGGTTTGCTCAGCCCGGAGGAGGGCAAGCCACTGCTCTTTGTACACTGGGGCCAGCCATGCGGCCGGGATCAGCGCATCCCGGTCAATGGTGCGTGCTGAATGCAGGTCACAAATTATGTAGGCCAGCCGCAGCTGCTGGAACACTGGGACGAAGGCTCTGCCCTCCTCAGTCTCCAGGAAAGGGGTGTCCTCTGACTCCCTCTTGGACCTGGCAAACCACAAGTTGGCATCGGACAATAAGGCTCTGTGAGGGCCGCTCCATGTCGGCTGCAACTGCAGAAACAACCACTTTTTCAGCTTGGTGTACACGTCCATCTCCACCTCCATCACCAAGAGCTCTGAAGAGGCGATGAGCTCTTTCATGAGATCCAGACTGACTTCTCGCAATAGGTGCTCACTACGCTGGGTCATCAGGTTGTCCAGCAGCCACTGGAAGCACATGGTCCTGATGTTTGGGAGGCCATAGCTCTCAGCAGAGTAGTAGTAGCTGCACACGGTCTGGGCGCTGACAGTCTCCTTCATGACCTCCCCGCACTGCTGAATCAGCTCGTCCAGCTGCAGCATGCTGGCTGCAGCCAAGAGGCAGATGACTCGATTGGGTGGGATGAACACGGAATCTTGGTACAAGGAGCTTAAAGCCTTGTGCAGTGCCTCACAATCAATGTTCTCGTCAGGCATCTGCAACTCTATAGTATTCATAGTTGCTTCTTTCCAAGCACCACTGAACATGCTAGCGAAGTAACCTGACTGGCACAAGTAGACCCTGTGTAAGTTCCACGCCTCCCCCAGTGCACAGATCTGCACATCGCTGCCTTCCCCCCTCATGAAGAGTGCCTCGTAATTGGACCCTGAATTGTCTTTGGCACGCTTCCGGTGGGGCTCTTTTTCGTGAGGCTCCCCCGAGCCTGTCTTCCGCTTGAGGCCACCCTGACTGGTGGTGGGTCCGGCCTGAATGCTCTCCTCCACCTCATCGGCCGTTGCCATGGCTGCCTCCACCACCTCCTCTTCCTCAATACCAATGGCACCTTGCTGCTGTGGGGCACACCTTCCCCAGAGCCACAGCACGCGACTGCTTAGTGCTCCCATGGCCTGTATGTACCTCGAGGGCGCAACGGACACGTTCACTCACAACGTGCAGCTTCCTCAGGCACTAGCTCAGCCCAGAGGGCTTATGGGTACGGCTGATGTCTGCTCTGACGTCACCTAGGACGCCATGCTAAGCCACACCCCATCCGGCCCCGCCCCTGCGGGAGAAGGCCATCCCTGACGTGAGGACAATTCTGTGCAACTTTCCCTCCAGGGATGATAGATTTAGGTCGTTTTACTATTAGATGAGCAGCACAGCTTCCCACATTAACACTCACTTTGTTTTATAGCCTCCCAGTAAAGGAATGGG